GATATATTTTCACTCACTATAGGGAACCATTTGTTCTCAGGCATCCTCAGGGAATGTGGTGCAGTGGCTGCCCAAATTTTCCAATATAGCATTTTCTCAGGTGTCACTGAATTTTGAGAGAAAAGAAGTATTAATGAGTCTTAAATAATTTAAACAATTTAATCACTCTCATTAAATTGTTGGCTTCTTGAAGGCAAAAGATATGTCTTCTTTGGACTAAACGACAGTTTTCTGGATAAAGGCTGAAATAAGTGGATGAAGTACACAGAGATTCTGTGTTGTTTTTTTTTTGAAAGAGATATTTATGGGAATGTAAATATTACCTTAAGAAAGTCATATCTTCAGTTCTCTCTTATTTACCATATCTAATGTGACCACTACTGAATATATGCACCTGAAGCACAAAATCAACCAAAACCAAGGGAGAAACAACAACAGCACTTATGATTTAAAATCCTGTGCAAAGTAGTTACTCAGTTCCAATTAATTTTGGTATCTAGAAAAAGCTTAAAATATGCTTTTCATAATTCTAGTATTGATTAGCACTGTTATCTGAAAAGAACAACATCCTTTTTAAAGAGGACATGCGTAAAGACATTCATAACCTTAGTAATACAAAATCTTACAACATCCTTGAATGGGTTTTGATGCTTTACCCTGCAGAACTGATGGTCTCTCCAGAAAGACTCTCAGTGTTATGCAAAAGAGTAGTATTTCCAGAACTACCTAAAAGTAGGCATATGAGGCCCATCCAGAAGGAAGAGCTTAAATGATCACATGTTTGAAGTGAGAGATGTAAACATAGACTCAGCATTGGGAACCCTCAGTTTTCAGGCATCCTCAGGGAATGTGGTATGAGAACTGCCCAGATTTTTTCAATACCAGCATTTTCCCAGGTGTCATGAAATTTTGAGATTAAAATAAGTATTAATAGGTCTTAAATAATTGAAACAATTTAACTTAATGAGTTAGAAAAAATTCAAAAGAACAGTATAAAGTTCATATGAAGTAGAATTTCTTGAAGCAAGATAGCCACTCTCAAGGTCTTTCAAACTTGTGATCCTGTTGTATAATTGGTTTCAAATTAGCAGGGTTAAGGAAACAATCTCAACAGAGTAAGGTTATGGTCCTGCTCTTTCTAAAGAAGTGTTTATGAATAGTCCTTAAAATGAAGATGTATAAGTGAAGGAAGAAAGAGTGTAAATAGTTATGTTTAGAATGTATATATGAATATAATGAAGTTCCTTATGTCCCCAAAGACAGCCATTGACTTACAGAGAATATTTATGAAAATATATACCTGTTTCTAGAATATTCAGCCTACTGGTATAAAGGCAAGTCAAAGTCTAGTACCATAATTCAGGAATATATATATATATATATATACATGAAAATGCTCTTCATAGATCAAGAAAAGAAGAACTCTCTCCCATAAGCGAGCGATGTAAGTAGTCTTCATTTTTTGTACCAGTTAAAGGTTTTAGTCACATGAATTTGCTATGATACCAGTGGGAAATCACCTAGGGCAAAGTGATTTTTTTCCCAGTCTTTCAGAAAACATGGGATATTTAGAAAACAACCCACAGGTTTATTTCTCTGCAATACCCCACTGTGACTTTATGGGCTGATTACCATCTTAGCCACTGTCTAAAACGGATACAGGTGAGAAAAGATAACGGAAATTTGCAGTGCAAACATTAGATCTTGTGATGGATGGACCTTGCCTATCATTTGACACAGAGGCTGTATAACATAGGCAACTGCACAATAGCTTCCTTGGTGAGGTGTGATATCTCCTTTTTATCTGAATTTTGTGTCAAGATTAGTATCCTTTGTTTATAATTCTCTTTCACAAGCATTCTAGTCTCTGAAACTCTCAACCTCAGTGGACTTTTCTTCTTCCTCTCTCACCTCTATTTAAAGACTTGATTTGTTTTTCTGTCCATTTTGAGAATGTTTGTAATAATCTGAATGCTGGCATTCTCTCTAGGTTAGAAATGTGTTTCCATAAAGGTTAAAGTTACAATGAACAGTATAGTGTTTCCTGAAACTTATAGCAACTCCAAAAAGTTGATAGATTTGCAAAATAAGAATTATTGCTGTCTATTATATCATTGAAAATATTATTTAAATAATCTTAACAAAATGTACAGGAACATATGAAAAATAGGTGATTGAACAATGGTAAAAATGATAGTTTGTATTTTTTAGAAGTCTTCAAATTCAGTAGTTTGTTTCACTTTTAATTTATTTATTAATATGGGAATAAGACAAATGACTACATTCTGAAGTCTCTTCTCCTTTGTGAGAAAATGTTGTTTCCTTAAATTTAGTCTCTGATCTGTTAGTAATGGAATTATGTATAGTCATTGTTTTGCTAAATCTGGACCCCATATGTGGTTGTGGATCTGCATGCCCCCAGTGTCTCAGTATTTTTGAGAGTGCCTAGGGGTATCTGAAAAGGACTTAACAGTAAATGCAGGACTCAACTCCTGGTGCATTTTTCTTGTATTTCTTTTCCATTCCCTCTGTTGAATACTCCTTTGTCTTCCCATGCACCATCCTCAGTGCATTGGAGCCCAAGAAGTCAGGAAGATCTTACAAAAGGGGAAAGAAACTTGGTATTGCTCTCTATTTGAGTGTCATTAGTGGGTTTTATACAATATATAGTTTTTAGTGAAATAGCTCTATCAGGTTCTTATAACAAGTCTGGCCCTTACCCCCAGCTCTAAACTTAGTTAAGGCCAGTGGGGATAGATGTGAATGAGAGAATTATCCTTTCAGTTGCTCCTCCTGTCTTTTGATCTCGTCTTAGTTGTTGGATCAAGCTTGTTCTGTCGGATACTTCTTTTTTGATTAGGCATTCTTTCTTAGGAGGCTCATTAGTGCCTCAAGCAAAACTGCCCTGAACTTCTCATGTATTTGGTGGAATCTCAGATATGGGATTCCTCTCCTGCCTGTTTTATTTTGGAGTTGAATGTTTCCTTAGATACTTCTGATTTACTCCTGTATTTACATAAATGTAAATAGCTAAAGTAACTAGTAGCCGGACCACCTGAAAGGAAATTTGATTGCAGTAAAGGCTTTTTGAAATTGTTATGAGAGTCATGATAAATGAGTAGAAAATGAGCAACTCAAAGTTTCAGATATGACCTACTACTTGAAGTACATAATGACCTTTGAAGATTTGGGGGCACTTACTGTGAATGGTAATTTTTGTCAATGGTGACAATAGCTTTTTGTAGAAAAGTTACATGGATATAAATATAATGATAAAACTGCAGAATGGTTTTCAAAATTAAACTTGCTTGAACTTACACATTAAGCTGCCCAGAATATTTGAAACCTTAAAGTATTCCAGTCTACTATTCCTGTGTGTAGCAGAAAACCAAGAGAGAGATGGGAAGCCTTACAATCACCACTCCTATCCTCTACTGGGAAAAAGAGAAAGAAAAGTTATCTTTTTTCAGGATTATTCCCATCTTCCACATCATTTTTTTCTTCCCTCCCCTTTGTGCCAAAGGATCTATATGCATTAAAATATTTTCTTGAATGCCCCCAAGATCTCTACCATAAACCTGCCTTTAGACATTATCTCTGTGCTATGGTGCTATCATTTTATTCTGTACCCTACTAAGAACAGCTTTCTAGCAAATGGACATGTTGAAAATATTTGAATGAATTTGCATTTCTTTCAAGAAATCCCCCCCACCCCAAGGAATGTTTGTTATAGAGAGGGATACTGGGATTGGTGGGGCGATATGTGGGGCAGAACTGTATTCTCACAATCCATCACAGCACATGAAAATGGTAGTCCATATGCTTTCTCCACATAAAACTGTTGCTGTTCAGGACACACTGATGTTGGGGGCTGGATATTTATAAGAGAAAAATATAAGATAAAGAAGAACATAGGATTTGGAGTCCGGGCCCAACATCTCCCACTCTATGTTCTTAGACAAGTCTTGTTATTTTATTAGTAAATAGAATATGTTACTAACATCTCCCTCACTGGGTTTAGTCAAGAGAAAACATGAGCTATTGTAAGTTTGGATTCTTTATGGATTGTTATATGCTACATTGAAAACGGACCAGTTATAGGAGTAAAATATTTGATTTCCATACATACATGTGTAAACAGAAGTCTCACATTAGGCACATAGCTATTTTTTGAAATAATATACACATATACATATTTTCACATAAATTCTTTTATCTACAACTGTTATCTGTATTTATTTATTTTTTTTCTCTTTAAATTTTTTATTGTTATGTTAATCACCATACATTACATCATTAGTTTTTGATGTAGTATTCCATGATTCATTGTTTGTGCATAACACCCAGTGCTCCACGCAGAACGTGCCCTCTTTAATACCCATCACCAGGCTAGCCCATCCCCCAACCCCCTCCCCTCTAGAACCCTCAGTTTGTTTTTCAGAGTCTATCATCTCTCATGGTTCATATCCCCCTCCGATTTCCCCCCCTTCATTCTTCCTCTCCTGCTATCTTCTTCTTCTTCTTCTTCTTCTTTTTTCCTTAACATATATTGCATTATTTGTTTCAGAGGTACAGATCTGTGATTCAACAGTATTGCACAATTCACAGTATATTATGGTTATCAGTAGTCTTGGAGAGTTTTAGTTCACACCATGTAGGGTAGAGTTTCAGAGGGCTAGATCTAAAGAGGGGAGGCATCTTTAAGTACTTTAAAACCTCCATACCTCAGTTGTCCTAGAATTTATCTTCTTTAATAAATGAATTTGACTTTAATCAATTTGGACATAAATGAGTATATTCTGAGCAAATGAATAACATTATGGTCAAAAAGAAAACTGCACAGGCACATTTTTGTAGGGCTATGATGACAGTTCCATAGTAAACCAGGATGAGGCCATAAGGAAAATAGAAAAGATAAAGTTCTGGCAATAATTTACATTTTATCAAGATTCAAATCAAACATTTTTAACCATGCCAATATTTTTTATTATTATTTGTAGATGGGGAATACTGAAAGGAGCACAAGGGCAGAAAGAAAAATTCTGGGTATGTAACTCTTTCCAACTGACTTTCTGCTGTGAAGTGAGTATTTTAGAATCATCTGAGTCTCTACTTCCTGATTTGTGTTAGTCCTTTCCTAAGTCACTGTAATATTGTTTATAATAATGGTATTTCCTCCAGCAGAAAAATCATTATATATTTATATCATTTATGTTATAGTAATAGTTTTTCTCTACTCCTCTTATTTCAAATTATAAATGAAGAATCAGTATTTTTTTTCAAAGTGAGAATCACCAGGAAAACATTTTGTTATCAGCTGTATTAATGGTTAGACTTCTCTCATATGTCAGTTTTGTGTTCTTCCATTTTTTTTTTTTGCTATGGATGATGGCTTTGTAATGTTATAATCAATTATACATATTGATATTATATATGTATATATAATATTTCCTAGTGGTAAAGTGTTTTATTTTTGTTCTTGCCAATTATGACATACATGTTTCTTCACTGAGAAAGAAACAATGTCTAGTCTAAAAAATTATAGAAAGTTAAATGTAAGAAAAAGTTTAAAGAAGACTGGAACATATTACCTCAAATATTCAGTTAATTACAATGAACTTCGGTGAATTGTCCCAGGTCTTATATTATGTATATTTTAATTTTAGTTTTAATTTCTGCAAAAAAGCAGAAATAGAATGAATAGGTAATGATATTCATTATGAAATTTGAATTTGAATATATGCAGTAGAGAGCATATTATAACGTATAAAACATTAACTACTAGGAGTGAAACTCATCAGGGTGACTCTTGATAATTAGATTTCTTCACAAGGCACTCACAAAAATCAATCACCCAAATATGCGGTTACCCCTTATATCTACGTTGTTGATACATGGAGGTATTTTGCTTTTAAATAGAATGATGCTTCTTTGTATTTGAACTGAGCTTTCTTAAATATCATTATCTTCATTAGGATGAAGCTTACAGTAGCCGGTAATTAACATTAATGCTCAATCGTTAAAATTCATAATTTATGGAGGGGATATGTTTTTTGAATCCCTACAGTTAAGTTTCTGTATGGGATTTCTACTAAATGAGTTTAAACAGTTATTCAATTTCATAATGTAATATTTAGAGGCAAAAACAAATTCTTTGATTAAGATACTGAATTCACAACAGTTTTTAGCATATAACACTTCATAGCTATTTGTGGAGTAAATATGAATGGAAGTGCACAAGAGAACTTTCTGTCACCCTCTCATCTTCAACCTCATCATTTCCGCCCTGGAGCCTCATGGGTAGTGTACACACAGACATATATACATACACATACACTAACTTACTCGTTCTTATATATCCAACACATATATGTATACTATACTATCCTTTTAAATTATTTTTGTTGCAATTACTATCAATTCTGAACTTACTACTTGTCAAAAAATTTCAAAGAAAACTGTATTTCATGGACATACAGGCAGGGTTTCTTTCTGTTGTGACTCATTTAGATAATTGTTTAATGTCAGTGGTAAGGAGGAGAATCAGACTAAAAATTACCATTTTTTTTAAGCTGCACATTTTGGTTGATTTTTTTCTCCACTTAACTGTATCATCATCTTGGGCCAGGATCATATCGGCCTTATTTACCACTCTATCCAAAGGACAAAGCAAAGTGCCTGGTACATATTGGGAATATGCACAATACTTGTTGAATGAGTGAATGAATAACATTAATGTGTGCATTCAGGAAAAATTTAGTCAAGTCACTAAAATAGTTTTCATTTTACATAAAAATTAATATTTGGTTTAATTAAGATATGAAATCCTTAACTAGTACTACTGGTTTGCCAAGAATTATGAAGGGTCTGAGATGTTAGCCCATTTGAATTAAAGAACGTGGGTCAGAAGAAAAGAGTGCTTAACTGATGCTCACATCCAGATCAACAGCCACATGTCACCACATGGGTCCTCACACTTTAGTCTGGCAGTTATAAGAGGCAACAATCTTTTTCCATACAGATAGCACCTGAAACCTCATAAATGAGGGACAGAGAACAGTGGATTTTCTCCATCTGTCTATATAAGAGACAGGCAACCTCCTCCTTTCTTGCAAGGAGAGGAAAAAAATCCATTAAGATGGGATAGAAAGGGTCTTGTGTTCTTACCCTTACTCTTAGGAATGTAAGTATGTCTTTCTGAGGGCCAGATAAACACAGATAATGTCTGTAAATGCTGAACTTCATCCTTTTAAACATATAAATACCATGGGAGATAATGTTCCAGTACTCCTGGCACCATGGGCTTAATTTAGACCTTGTCTGGTTTCTGACTCTTGGGCCCTCTTGGGGAGATAAGAGAAGTTTTATTATCCTTTTGGATCAAATCAATTAAGTAGACAAATGGCTACAGATCTAATTCTCATTGAATGTGAAGATAAAATATTTCTGGCAGAAGTGAAAGCAAATATTCTCTATCTCTATATCATATACACTTTTTGTGTGTCAGGGGATTAAATTTTTTTTGCAAGAGCACTGAAAAGTTCAGAGAAGTTTTATCTGCTTGCAATTATATATGAATGTTTTAAAATATTTACAAGTAGGCCTACAATATAGTAAATTATAATAAAAATGGATGACTTCCATTACTAAGTAAAATGTAATACATAAAAATAAGCCATATATTCCACTAAATAAGTTGAAAATAACATCAGAATTGATTTTCCAAACTCATATTTTTAAAGAAATGAGAAACCTGAATCTGGAGAAGATTTTCTGTCCTGTGAGCATTCGGTAGGGCTGGGCACAAGCTGATTACATTTGAAATATGCAGAGAGAGAGAGAGAGAGACCTCTGAGAGAAAGAGAATCCAGCTGGATTCGAATATAGAGGAACCTGAAACACACAGCCATCTCTTCCTATGGAATATTTACTGAGTGCTTGAACAGGGTGAGTAGCTGAGGAGAGTGATGAAAGGCAGTGAAGTCTGCAGTCTTGAAGAACCTACAGGAGAAGTCCCATTGGAAGAGAGCCTGAAACACAAACATAATAGACATAGCCCCCCCCCTTTTTAAATCAGGTCTGTATTGAGCTTAACAAAGCCTTATCTCCAGCCCTGACCCAAATTAGTTTCTGCACAAATTGAGGTGATTAGTCCCTCACTGTATTTCTTTAGCAGAAGAAAAGGCTAACCTTCTTAGGACAATAATACCAAGGTCAATCTCTATTTAGTAGGGCAACATATCCAGCATACATTTAAAAATTATGAGACATGTGAAGCAGAAAAATGTGACCAATAACTAAGGGGAAAAACTCAATAGAAGCAATAGATAATACTTTAGATGTAGGCTTTAAAATAATCATTGTAAAAAACATTTTAAAAAGGATCAAAGATGGAGAATTTTAACAAAGGATTTAAATATATTTAAAATATGAATCATTGAATTTGTGAGTGCAATGTTTGAAATTAAGAACTCACTGTATGTGTTAAATAGCAAACAGAATTAGTGGTCTTAAATAAAATTCAATAAAATATATCCAACTTGTAGTACACAGAGAAAAACATAATGAAAAAACAAAAGCAAATACAAGACAGTGTGAATACAATCAAATGGTAGAACACAATCAAATGATTTAACATATATGTAATTGTATTCTCAGAAGGATTGAGGGAGGGAGAGAGAAAGAGAGAAAATGAGCCAGAATCAATATTTAAAAACATGATGGCCAATAGTTTTCCAAAACTGAAGGACATCAACCCAAAGATTCAGAAAGCTCAATCAACTCCATGAAAGAGAAATCAAGAAAACCACACCCAGGAATTTCATAATCAAATAGCTTAAAATAAAAGATAAAGAAAAAAATTTTAAAACAGCCAGAGTTTTTAAAAGGGTAGGTTTCTCTCAGAAAAAAGTAGCATTAACTAATGGCTGGCTAGGGAAAGGTAGTCTTTAATAAATGATGTTGAGAATACTGGGATATTCACATGCAAAAGAATAAAATTGGACCTCTATTTCACACCACTTGAGAAAATTCACTCAAAATGGATTAAAGATTTAAACGTAAGACCTGAAACTATAAAGCGCCTAGAAGAAAACAGGGAAACAATCCCTAATATTGATCTTTGCAATGACTTCTGGGATATGTCACCAAAGGCATAAGTGACAAAAAAATAAACAAGTGGGACTACATCAAACTAAAAAACTTCCACATAGCAAAGCAAAAATAAAAACAAAAGTAACAAATGAAAGTCAACCTATGGAATGGAGAAAATATTTGTAAGTCATATTTCTGAATAGGGTTTAATATCCAAAATATTTAAGGAACTCCTACAATTCAGTAGCAAGAAAACAAATAATGAGATTAACAAATGAGCAAAGAATCTGAATAGACTTACCTCCAAGGAAGACATAAAAATGGCCAACAGGTACATGAAAAGATGCTCAACAGCACTAGTCATTAGGGAAATGTAAGTCAGAGCCACAAGGAGATATCACCTCATGCCTGTTAGAATGGTCATCATCAAAAGACAAAAGATAATAAATGCTGGGAAGGATATGGAGGAAAGGAAATCCTTGTGCAGTGTTGGCAGAATTATATAGTGGTACAGCCACTATAGAAGACATTATGAAGGATCCTCAAAACATTAAAAATAGAACTACCATGTGAACCAGCAATTCCATTTCTGGGAATATTTCCAAAGGAAATGAAACCACTAACTTGAAAAGATATTTGCACCCTCATGTTCACAGCAGCATTATTTATAATAGCCAAGATATGGAACTAAGTGTCTATAAAGCAATCAATGGATTAAAAAAAAGTGGTGATATATATGTGCAATGGGATACTATTCAGCCAGAAAGGAGGAAATCTTGCCATTTGCAACAACATGGATGAAACTTGAGGGCATTATTCTAAGTGAAGTAAAGTCAAACAAAGACAGATATTATAGGATCTCACTTATACATATTAACTAAAACAAACAAACCCTCAAAATCATAGAAAAAGATCAGATTTGTGATTAACAGAGCTAGGGGTTGATGGCAGTA